CAGCGTGCTGGGGCGGGAGCGGGGTGCGCGGCGGGCGCAGGGGTGGGAACGAGGATGGCGGGGTCCGGGGCGCCCAGGTGCCGTGCACCTGATCAGATTCCCATCCTCCTTGGAGCGCCTCGCCCGGAAAGCCAAACAAAAGCACCCCGTCTTCCTCGCCCCCCAGGACAGCAGCTCGCAACTTGGCGGAGGGACCGCCGGGGCGCGCGGGGCCGGAAGGGGGCGTCCGCGAGCTCGGTGGCGGGGAGTGGGTGGGGTGGGGAGGGGGGCTTGGGGATCCTTGCCGGGGAGGAGGGGTACCCTTGTCTCCATCCCCCGGCTGCAGAGAGGCCCCGGGGGGCGGGGGGCCGGGGGGGCCGGGCGGCCGAGGACGCTGGGTGAACTTGGCCGGGGCATGGTCTGTGTTTTGCACCCCGGACCTGAAATGTCGGTGTCGGGGACGCGGCAGGGCGTGCTGGGGAGAAGTGTGTGAGTGTTTTCCAGTGCCGACCGGTTTATTTTTAGTTCCCGGGAAGCAGGATGTGTAACGTGGGTTGTGTCAGCCGGGGAGGGGCAGGAGGTCTCCCGGTCCGCAGGAAGTAGTGCACAAGTTTCTTGCACATGCTTGCTGTAACTTTCGTGCAGGGAGGAGACAGGGCCCTGGGGCTCCCGGAGGGTCCCCCCGCCTTCCCGCGGGTGGGCCCGTCCTGAGCCAGGGCCTTCTGCGCGGGCCTCGGTCCCGGCCCGCCACCTCTGGGTGAAGGTGCATGCGAGATCTCTCTCGTGGGCCTGGGGAGGGAGGTGTGAAATTCAGAAGTGGGGCTCAAAGGTCGTCCCCCTCGGTGAGAAGCGATCCACGGGCTGCTCCAAGTTCTCGGAGTGTAGATCCCAGCGCGCACAGCCGGGCGGGCAGCGGCTCCCGCACGGTGCTAGCCAGGCTTGGGAGGGTTTTCCCTCCACCTCCAAGTGGGAGGGGCCCCAGGCAGCGATGCTGGGCTGCACTGGAGAGAAGGTAGGGTGGGGTGGGGTGGGCTGTGTGTGTGTGTGTGTGTGGAGGGCACAAGCAGACCAGGGGGGAAGGCTGTAGAAAGGGAGACTCAGTGCTCAGTCCCCTAAAATCAGGGGCCAGGAGGAACCCCGTTTGCATCCGTGCTGCCCTAGCGAAGGTGAGCATTCCTGCCTGTGGGCTTCTTGCTTAGCCTCTTCTATTTGCTGATCTCGTTACCCAGAGGCGGGGGCTGGTGGGGGGGGGGAGTTGGTGGTTTCCTTCGGAGACTGGATACGTTGGTCCTCAGCAGCACTGAGCATCACGCCTTGTCACTGCCGTGAAGGCTGCGCGCACGTGAGCTCTGAGTTTTGTTACTGCTGATGGCTGATTTGGGTCTTACCCTCATCGCTTCCTGCATGAATGGCTCCGATTGCCTTCAAGCTGGGCTCCTTGCTTCCAATCAGGGCCACTTTGTTCTAGTTCATTCTCCCAACGGTGGACCTTCGTTCTGAAAATGACAAAGCGAAGCGAGTCATTTTGGTAAATCTTCTTCAGAGGTTTTCCGAGGCTTTCAGAATAGAGTTCAGACTCCAAGAATTTCTTGATTCCCGCCCTGACTTTCTATCCGGCCTCATTTTCCAGGCCTCCCCAAGGGTAGGCTCTGCTCCAACCACCGAGTCCCAGAATTTGTCATCTCACCCTCTCTGCCTGTCAACTCCCGGGTATCCTTTCCTGTCCAGTTGTGTGGCAGTGCTTGCACAGACTGGGTGTCCTTTCTCCCCAGCGGAGTTACCCCTGCTTCATGCTTCCATGTTACCCTGCTGATACCTATCTTGTTGCTCTGAGTGTGGACATGCAGGTGTTTGTTGAATGAATAAGTGAAAGCCAAGTTGGGTCCCTTCGCTCAAGCCAGAATCAACACGGAGAATAATAAAAAGGGGAACCAATGACTCATTCTATGTAGATTTCGCTACAATTAAAAAACTTTGGAAGCACTAAGCAATCAGGATTGGTCAGAAGAACTACTGCAGAGGCATTCATTCTTCTAATCATGAGGGGGCAGACTTACAATGCAGAACTATAATGATTTGAACCTTTAATCTTGGTTCTGTAAGGAAAGGTCATGATGTGTGTGGGTCTTAGAACTCTTCCTTGGCTTATAGCTTCCTTCAGGGTGTGTGTTTTTATCTTGTCTAGGGTTGGTCTGATGAGAACAGGAAACTCCCTGTCCTCAAGGCTACTGGGTCACTTTTTAGGCAATTTGATGTGTCCTGAAAGTGCTTCTCAGATTTAGGCAGCAATTCCAAAACTCTCTTCTGCTCTCCCAGGAGCTTGGAGAGGAAAATGAGGTGGGACAGGTTGGGTTCTCTGCTGTAGCCCAGAAGGCTGTTCCCAGGGTTGGTGGGGAGGGAGGAGGTTGACAGCTGAGAACAAAGACTCCATTTTACACTTAAAAAAAGGATTATGGGCAAAAAAAAAAAATACAAAGAAAAATGAGATAGAGACCATGCCTAAAACCCTATCTTTTTTTTTTTTTAACTTTGGCAACCCCTAGACTGGAGTGAGATGAATGGATTTCATTTTGCATGTCATCTCTGATTGATTAGCAGTGGCTGCCTGAAAAACTGAGTCCGGGAAGAATCCAGGCCAGGACTTCAGACTCAGCAGGAGATCATGCTGTGGCCAATTAGTGATGTCTGTGAGGGAATGGGCTTACAGAGTGATGGTGGGCAGATTTAGTGCCCACCATTCCCATCCTAGAGACAAATGGGAGGCCCGTGAAGACAGAAGTCAGGGACAAAGCACTAGGGTTGAAGAAGGCAGGACTTTTCACCCCTGTGATAAACAACCTCTGCAGAAAACACCAGCAGCTGCTGTTTACTGAGTGTTTTAAGAATGTTTGATGTGGGACTTGATTTAATCTTTGCACTTTTTCAAGAGATACTATCTTAATTAGAGTGTAGTTCCCTTGTGCCAAAGATCCCCAAACTCAAAAAAAGAAAGAGTATTCTTTTTGCTCTGACAATTCTTCAGTCCAGAAAAGACACTTCAGACATATTTTGATTCAGGGTTGTTAGTGAGCCCTGAGCTCTGCGTCTCTGTTCGTGGTTTGCTGTCTTGGACTGGGAATTTTGAGTCCTCATCTCATTGTAGGAGGGCTGGTAGAGCTGCAGATGTCATGTAACTGGGCTTTAAATCCAGCTGAGGAAGGAGTCTGGATGCCTACATTGCTGGGGATGACTCCTTGACATTGTTGTTTGGCATTGCTCAGATCTGGGTCTCTTCCCTGTGGCAGGGGTCATAGGTTACCATGCTTGGGCTTGGCCACAGGCTAAGAAGTAGGACCAGAAAATTATGATGCCATCACCATGAGATGAGCCCTTGATTACAAAAGAACAGCTGTTCACTCTCATTCTGTGAGCATTCCCTCTTCACAGAGAAGGCAAATAGGGCAAGGAGCGCCCAAGCACTTGGCCAAGGTCACGTGACGAGGAAACCAAAGCACTCTGATTTGAAACCCACAATTTATGCACTTAGTAGAATTATCTGAGAACAGAATACTGAGAGCGAGTTTCACAGCTCAGTAGCTTCAAAAATTGAAAGTATTGATTGGTCAGAAGAAATAAGACAGAATAGTGGATAGAGTTTTATTCATTCAGCCAATTTTTTGGGGGGAAGTTTCTTTTCGTTTAGTATTGGGTTAAGTTCTCCAGATGCGTACAGCGCAGTCCTCCATCTTTAATTAAGCTAAGGAGCAAATGAGGGGGAGGAGGAGGTGCAGGAGCTTAGCCCCTGTCATGGGAACAATGGCCTTCCATGTTGCTGACAGGCCCAGGTAGATAAGGAATGGATGTTTCTTCAATACATTTTCTAAAAATGTTAAATATGTAGTATAAAATTTACCATTTAATTGATTTCAAGTGTTCAGATTTTTAAAAATTAGCATCCATTAATTATACAAGAGGAGGTTCATTGTGACATTTCCCCACAAACTTACAATGTGTCCTGATCAAACTCAGCCTGCTCTTTTACTTTAAGTAGCACCCTCCCCTTCTTAAAACAATTACAAAAGATTCCATTATTCTTTTTTCATACATGCAAATAGACTATTAAATGTTTCATTCTGTGTCATTAAGTATATTCATGTTATTACACAACCATCGTCACCAGCTCTCTCCAGATCTTTTTCTTCTTCTCATATTGAAACTTTCAACCCATTTGAAATAGCTTCTCCTTCCCCTCTCTCCCCAGCTCCTGGCAACCAACTTTTACTTTCTGTCTGTAAATCAGGTTATTCTAAGAAGTTTATAGAGGGGCTGGAAAGGTGGCATGCGTTGCATGCATGAGGCCCTGGGTTCGATTCCTCAGCACCACATAAGCAGAAAAAGCTGGAAATGGGGCTGAGGCTCAAATGATAGAGCACCAGCCTTGAGCTGAAGAGCTGAGGGACAGCGCCCAGGTCCAGAGTTCAGGCCCCATGACTGACAAAAGAAAAAAGAAAAAAAAAGAGAATAGACTCATATATTTGTCTTTTTGTGACTGGATTATTTTTTACTAGACATGATGTCCTCAAGGTTCATCTGTGTCAGACTTTGTTTTTTTGAAGACTGAATAATATTCCACTGATGTGCAAAGCATATTTTGTTATTTCATTTGTTGGTGAATGCTTGGATTGCTTTCACCTTTTGGTTGTTGTGCATACTGCCACTATGAACACGTGTATGTTCAAATTCCTACTTTCAGTTTGTTTAGGTTTATACTCACAAGGGAAATATCTGGACCATATGGTGTATAATTTTTTGAGTAACTGCCCTACTATTTTCCACAGTGGTACCAATTTACATATTCATCAGCAATGCACAAGGGGTAGAATTTTTCTTCTTCCTAATCATCATTTGTTATTTTCTTCTCCTTTTTAAAAAATAATAACTATCCTCATGAATGGGATGTGTTGAATAATTCTTTTTAAATTTATTTTTTATTTAGAGTACATTAATAGTAGAAGGGGCTGCATTATTATGCTCAAAACACAAGAAAAAAAGAGATAATTATAGGCCAATCTCTTTGAAGAACATAGAAGCAAAAATTCTTGATAAAGTCCTGCAATTGAAATTCAATAACATATTAAAAAGATCATACACCATGATTACGTTGGCTTCATTCTGGGAATACAAGATTGGCTAAACATATATAAGTCAATCTAACATGAACAGAATCAGATACAGAAATCACACGATCATCCCAATTGATGCAGAAAGCCCATCTAATAGAATTCAGCATTCTTTGATGATTAAAGCTCTGAAGAAGCTAGGAACAGAAGGAGTATACCTCAACACAATAAAAGCTGTATATGACAAACCTATAGCCAGCATCATACTAAATGGGAAAACCTGAAATTATTTCATCTCAAATTAACAATGAAACAGCATATTCACTTCCCCATGCTTAGTGTGTGTGTGTGTGTGTGTGTGTGTGTGTGTGTGTGTG